TTCTTCTTCTTCTTCTTCTTCTTCTTCTTCTTCTTCTTCTTCTTCTTCTTCTTCTTCTTCTTCTTCTTCTTCTTCTGTTTTGCTTCGGTTCACAGAACACACATAAAACTCATCAACTTCTTTTTCTCTCTTTTAAAAATCCCAGGAGATAATCAAAAATATCTCACATGATATACATATTAAAGAAATGAGGCGGTGGTGTAAAAACAATTATTAAAAATATACCCCTCATCTTCCAATACTTAACAAAAACAACCCTCAAACTTTATAATTGATAAAACCTGGTTATCACACAAACTCTCGATGGAATCCTAAAACCGTTTTCAGAACATTGTGTAAATATCTTTCGTTCCTTTGTTTTTATACTTTCGGGAGCATTTTCTTGATTTCTGAAACACTTTTGAACTGCATATCTTTGTAAAACCATCTTATAATTTCACGTCTTTGACTCATTTTTTTGAATTTTGATTCCAGAAGTTCATTATGAAATTGGATTTGCATGATGATAAAGACAAGAGAAAAGCTTTGAAGAGTGTATTTGCTCTTTCAGGTAACCATAATCAAAACTTACAGTGATTCTTTGAGTTTCTTTGTCCAATTTTGTTCTTTTAATCATATCTTTTTCATAAATAAAAAAATGTTCAAACCTTAATCTTGTGGGATTAGCTCAACTTTTATACTATTAAATCTGATTTATTAAATCTATTTTATTCTCATTTATGAAATCATTTTCTGTTGTTTCAGATTTTGAGTTATTGGAGGGATCCCTAAGATGCATATATTTACTCATTTTTCTTGTTTGTAGAAGAATATGGTAGAAATAAAGCAACATACCAGTCAACAGAAAATTCCTCTTGGTGATCTAGAGATTATGCAACAAGTCCTAGATAAACGATCAACATATATTTGGGGATGGTTTAGGATCCCAAACACTATGAACGACTCTAGGAATCCGTGACGTAGACCGGCTCCTCAAGTAGATTGAGCCGCACTGAGATGCCTGCTAGACTTTCCTCAACGGAATCCGATCTTGCTTCAACTAAATCCGAACTTGCTTCAACCGAATCTAAGCTCTTTCATATAATGGATGAAGTGGTCGAGCTGCATGAAACGGTGAAGTTGCTTGTATCCGGCTAACCAATTCTGAGTTTTTCAGTTTTACTAAATGTTCAAGACCATGGTTCCGAGACTCGATATCGTTGAACATTCTAATATGATTTTGGATGTTTTTTAGTAGTTCAACACAGTGTTGTACGTCGAACATTTGAGATTGAACTTTAGGGTTTGTTCTAAACGAGTTCTTGTCTTTTATATGACGAATCTATGAAGTTTTATTGCTTTGGGATTTTAATAAAATTGTTCCTGATTAATATTCATATTATTTATTTATTTTATTTTATTTTATTATAATATACATAATTATATATATATGCAGTTGAAATATGGATGAACTTAATTTTGAGAAGGAATTGATATTTTAAAAGTGTACCTAGAGATCATTTTTGGAGAAGGTTTTGAGTTTACATATCTAAAGATTAATTTTAGATAAGATTTTGAAAGTGTAACTAAATGAGACCTTTAAAGAAGGTTTTAGAAATGTGTCACTAAAGTCAATATCTTTAAAGAAGCTTTTCTATATACCTTATCTGAAAGTATATTTTAGTAACTTTTATAAATTGTTACAAATACTTGAAAAGCGTCATTAATAGACACTTTTAGAGAAGCTTTTTGAAAAAAAGTTGACTAACCTTTGGAGAAGCTTTGAAAGTGTATCTAAAGCCCTAAAAATGTCTCCAAAAGCTAACAAAAACACACCTTTGAAAACCCTCCCTAAATTTTTTACCTACTGTTATATAGAGAAGCTTGTTGACGGAATTGGAAAACTTCTATAAAAGTTTTAGAGAAGCTTTAAACGTTTATGCACAAAATAAAACCTTCCCTGAACGTCATTTTTCTTGTAGTGTGAAAATAAATTAGTATTTATCAACAATTTATAGTTATCTTATATTTGTCTTTGTCCCTTCAATATTGTTGAAATCATCGAAGACTTCTTATGTCGATATTTGTCGGTTGTCGATAATTATGTGATAATAATGTATTTTGTTGTGATAATTACATGGTAATGCTAATTGATAAATTAATCGAAGATTTCTTATGATATAATTTTGTTGTGATAATTACGTGGTTTGTTGTCATCATAATGTGATAATGTTGTAGTAAATCGAAAACTAGACACGTCCACAATCATTGGCTCTGTTATGTTTATTATGTGATATGCAACTTTTTCCCTTTTTACTCTAACATGCCTTCGATATTCCTAAAAAGGTAAATACTTATACATTTAATATTTTACTAGCTCCCTTAATCCTTTCTAAAACTGTTATTTAAAACAAAATGATGAACTTACAAGTGTTATCCTTTTTGCATAAATCATAGATGTTCTCGTGTGAACCTTCTCCATATATACACGTGTGTGTATATATATATATAGAGAGAGATGTTCATACGAGAACATTAACTAAATAAGAGAATGGTCGAATCATATGTGATTTTACACTAAAATCACGTATAAAATCACATGTGATTCACACGACTTTGGCCACGACCTGAGGTCGCGGCCACATCTCCCACACACCCTTTTAGTGACCATTAATATAAAATCGCATGTGAATTTGCACGTGGATTGACCATTTTCTAATTTTTCTTATTTAGTTATTGCTTATGAATTTCTCTCTCTCTCTCTCTACACACAGAGACACACATATAAGGACTTTCTTTTAAGAACCCAATAAATTATGATAACATTAAGAATTAGTGCATCATGTGCTTGATTTCATATGATTTTTTTTTCCATTTAAGACTAAGATTTATAACATTGACTAATATATATTTGTTTCACATCGTGCTTGTTCCTCATGTATTTGTTTCACAATATGAAATTTTTAAACATGTATGTAAAATAAAAATTACACGTAAAATTGTTTCATATTGCGAACTGCATAAACACATTGTGAAACAAATATATATCTGTCAATACATTAAGTGTTAGCGTTAAATGAGAAAAAAAAATCATATGTGAAACAATATCTTAAGATAAAAGTTCTCATGTTTATTACAATTTATGGAGCATTGAAATGATTAAACCCATATATATATATATATATATATAGAGAGAGAGAGAGAGAGAGAGAGAGAGAGAGAGAAGACGTTAGACCGATTATGCCAGAAATTAAATATTTTGGCAAAAGACGAGAAGTTTCAGTATCATATATGATTATACTCCTTTTTGTATGTTTAATCATATATGATTAAGTTGTCATTTTCTTAGTAAAATGTTACCTTCTCTTCAAAACCTGAACTTATATACACCCAACTACATAGTACATACCATGCTTTTCTCATAATAAATAATAAAATCTGTTTAATATTATTGAAAAAGATGAGCAATAATTTGTATAGGTTCAAAGCTTTAAGCGAAAAATAACATGAGGGATACAAACCCCCTCTAAAAAGCATTTACATTTCCATGGCTGCCATCGGTCTTGAACAGATTCCAAGACCTAAAGCTCACATACTTTCACACACATACAAACATTTTAAATACAATTTTTCATGAAATTAAAATGAAACGAGGGTTTTCCCTCCAAATCTCAAACATTGGTACTGCTTCTAGTAGATCTCACTGCACCAGCTTTCAAAACGAATTCGTGATAGAAGGCTGCAATGGCTGCACCGATGAAGGGTCCGACCCAGAATATCCACTGCAAAATCCATTCACAAAACAGTAAGCCACCATTAATTAGTTCTTTTATATATTAATTAAGATAGCTAAAACTCACTTGATCATCCCAAGCTTTCTCCTTGTTGTAAATGACCGCCGTTCCAAAACTCCTCGCCGGATTGATACTAGTTCCGGTGATGGGAATCGTGGCTAAGTGAACCATGAACACAGCAAACCCAATGGCTAGAGGTGCTAACACCTACACGAAATAACGAACTCAATTATAATAATTAACAAAAAATGATAAACTATGAGGGAATATATATAATTAACAGTAGGGTGAATACCGGAATATGGGCGTCTCGGGCTTTCCTCTCGGGATCGGTGGCAGAGAAGACGGTGTAGACGAGAACGAAAGTGCCGATGATCTCAGCACCCAACCCAGTGCCTTTGTTGTAGCCTTCAGCTAGCTCGTTAGCACCACCGCCATACTTGTTGTAGTTAGTCTTGTGGAAAGCCTTGACTAATCCCGCACCACATATGCCTCCTAAGCACTGAGCCACCATGTACAAGATGGCTCCGAACAATGAGATCTTGCGACCCAGAAACATACCGAAGGTCACAGCTGGGTTAATGTGACCACCTGCACATTCATGGACCAAAGATTTATTGCATGCATGCTCTCCTTGTGAATTATGTAATGAACACTAGCTGTGGTTTGCAAGGCTTGATCTTGAAAGAAAAGAAAATAGGTGGTGGAAACTTACCGGAGATACCGGCGGTGCAGTAAACGAGAATGAAGATCATGCCACCAAAGGCCCAAGCAATACCAAGGATTCCGACGCCGCCGCAAGCGTCAGTTCCCGGCTTATCTTTGTCTGTCTGACTCTTGTAACCAATAACAGTCAAGATGGTAATGTAAAGGAAGAGAAGGGTGGCGACGAACTCAGCAACGAGAGCTCTGTAGAACGACCACTTGGTCAATTCTGTTGAGTCGATGAACGCCACCGGCTTCTCGGAATCCGGTTCTTTCCTCATGTTTTGGAGAGTGGTAGCCATGACGATGGAGTTGGAATTGTACAAAGACTATTTATAAGAGGTATTTGTGTGTAACTTACGAGGAAGACATTGTTACCCCACTAGGGGTCCACCCAGAAAATTTTCTAAGCCGTCGCATCATTTGACTAAAAAAATGACACTAACAGAATTTAAACTTGAGTCTGGGATGAAATAAAAGCCTTGCAAACCAACTCTACCAAATAAAACTTGTTCCCATTGTAGTTTCAAAATACATATGATGGCACACAATAAATTATACGGTTGCATCTTTCACGAACCTAAATTTTTTTACCCTTCAACAAAGAAATAATACGATAGCACGTGACACCATGTGCCGTATGAAAGGTCGTCCATGTACCCCACCACCTTCTCATGTTTTCTTGTTTTAGCAGCATACACGTTTATTCTATTTTCTTGTTTTCATGCTTCTTAAGTACACCAAATACCATCTTTTATAACCTTTTGGCATCTTTAATATTCTTGTGTTTTTTTTATGACAAGCTTATCATTTACAAACATTCTAAAACCTCTCCGATTACTACTTAAAGTAATATTCAAAGGTTTGGTATCAATTGTTTTTTTTTATTCATTTTCAACATTTTAAATAATTTTGTTTACGAGAAACGCTTGACAATTTCATTTAATTACTCTTTTTAATCATTTGATCAAGATGTAGTAACACCATTTTGCTTTATATCCGTTCTCATATCTTATAAACGAACCCAACTATATGATTTATTTGGTTAAAATGAATTCATATTTTTACGTTTTTGTTTATATTCTTTCCAATTTTTCGTCTAGCTACGTAGCAACGGTCAATGAGTATACAACTAGTGTGTATGTGTATGTATATAGGTCAAGTTCCGGGGAAAACGCTAAATAAATGGAAAACAGAAAAACCATGAAAAAAAACGGATGGAAAAGTATATAAATATGGGTGTCAAATTAACAAGAAAGATATGATTTTTTTTTTTATGTATTTTGTTACGTTCAATCTTGGATCGTATTTCGTATTTTTTCGTTTAAAATATAGGAGGTGGTGGGAGTTTTTAATTTAAAAATAAAGTTGTAATTGTCACTTTAATCACATCCATTGGATCAATTAATATAATGGTTGATGAAGTGTTTTTTGGTTTTTCAATTTTTTGAGGTTTTTTCCGGGTACCTCTCTCTCTCTCTCTCTCTCTCTCTCTATATATATATATATATATATGAATGATCGTGTGAAAAAAAAAGATAAGATGAGAAGTGTAATAAGGGAGTTGGACCATTGATCGCTTTTAATCCCAAAACAACCTTTGAATTGCGTTTTAAAATGAAATTAATCTAGTGAATATCATTAGTGTTTATCTAGTAATTCTATTCAATTATGATTGATTCAATGATAGATATCTCTTCTTACCTTTCTCACTGTAATTCTCATTTTTACCGAACTCAATCATTTCATTTTATTCCTTGTGTGTGTGTGTGTATATATATATATATATATATATAGAGAGAGAGAGAGAGAGGATGTTATTTGCAAACCTCTTATTTCATGCAAACAATAGAAACCACCATCAACCAATAGAATAATTCTATATTTTTCTCTTTATTTTAAATAAATAAGAGTATGAATGTCATTTTACTTTGTAATAGATAATCTTGATAATGTTTCAATTGTTTTAAATATGGAA